CCCCCCCCTCCCTGGCGGGGGGCAATGCTGAGCGCATGAACCAATCAACGGACTAAGTTATCAGACCCGCGGGAGGGAAGCCATCAGCCTCCATCATGGGTGTATCCAATGTCTGTGCATTGGCCACCTGCTTGATTTCTTCCACCATCGCCTCGAGGGAGACGATGGTGCCTTGTAAGTGGTCGAGGAAGGCCTTGGTTGTGGTACTAACGTTCTCAGATGCCGCCTCGACGAATTTATGTTTCTCCTCCTCTTTCCGCAAAATACTCGTAGTCACGTCCATGCTGGCTTCCGTAGCTTGGACCGTAGGCATCCCTTGTATCTCTTGTGCCATGCGGTCACTTTCGTGTAGCACTCGGTGCCGTAATTGAGCCGCCTCAAGTTGGGCAGCGAGTTGGTGGACACTTTCTTCCTTCTCGGCCAGTTCTCGCTGGAAACTGTTCAGGGCGACCACGCGCTCGTTTAAAGCCGACAGTTTGCACAAAATGTGGTACGCCAGAGTCGCGATGTTCCGGTACACGATCGATGTCTCATTCCGCAATAGTGTCGGGTCAGCACTTGCGCCCTCAATTACCAACTTCAAGTAGTTACTTAAGTGGATGTCATTTAACCGCCGCTGCTGCTGAAATAGCAAAGCTCCTTGACACTGCACGCGGTGCAAACTGCCTAGACTCTGCGGGTTCTCCATAGCCACCAACCGACCCGTCAAACTACCTACATCCAAAGCACGGTGGTGCGAAGTCCGATTCAACACCGCCTCTGCATTCTTAAACCCCTTTGGCGGCGACGCCATCCAGACAAAAATATTTGTTTAAGGAGAGCTCGAGGTCAACGGTTCGATGCCAGCCGTGTCCGTACTTTGTTGGGGGGCTACCTGCGAGCGCAAACCACGCCCCAAAAAACCTGCGGCAGTATCCGTGTCGAGTACAGGTATTTATAGCACTCTAATTGCACGAGCCGCAACATGTGAGGGCCGACTGCACGGACCGTTGGGCGTGTCAGCGAAGACTACAACACAAATAAGATACGTGACATGACACACTATTTGACTGACTATCTGGCGACTGACTATCTGGCGACTGACTATCTGGCGACATCACCCTCCTCTCGCCCCCTCCGCGTGACTCTAACTCGCTCGAGTCTCACTCGCACGACTCCGACTCGCTCGACTCTCATTAAGTGTCTTGGTCGACCTGCCCAGCCGGAAGCTCACGGGAGGCTGTCCGGCCCATCGGACCGACTTAAGGTTTTGCTAAGCGCGCGGCAGCTTCCAGATCAATCCCTGAAGTAACGGTTTCACACGCTTGGTCCGCGGCTGCCTTCAGCTGTTTCCACTGGTCATACAAAGGATTCCCCTTGACCAAATTAACGCCGTTGAGCGCTATCTTGCCCTTCATGAGGGCTGCCAACGCCTCCGTAAGTATCAACAAGGTGGCCCCGTACTCTTCGGGCGGAAGGTGAGCAAGTCGTGTTCCCAGCAGGTAGGGGTCGCTGGCCGTGCCGGTCAGTAACTTTATTTCGCTTTCGTCATTCGTCACAATGCGGGTCTCAGGATATGTCTCCAACTCTCTTTCTATTTTTCCAACCAGCTCCGATATCTTCAGCACGTGGCTTTCGACATCCTTCAGTGTCTTCAATGAAGCACTGGAACTCATTCAACTTTTAATTTGGCCCGGGCGAAGAGATAGGTGGCTGGACAGATAGACAGATAGATCAGTGCAATGGCCCCACAATGATCCACTACAGTGCATCCAGAGTAGGGTAGTTTGGTTGTGAAAGGTGACAATGTTCGCGGCTGCTGTAAGCAGCTGTTATATATACTAAAAAGTCACGCTGAGGTCGGCTATTCCGCCGACGGTTTAGAAGGAACGTCTCCGAGCGGGGTGTCTCCGCCGGCGGCTAGTCAACACGCGACTCACTCTGCGAGCGAGTCGCCAAGACCAGACTGGCTCCAATGGAGTGGGTTCGCGCGGCCGGAGGTTTCATCGAGGTCGACCCACTTGGGCTTCCACATGACGACAGTTTTGGCGCGGTCTTGACCAGGGTATTCCATGTTGAAAATTTCTCGATACAGGAACTCTTCCTTGTTCTGGGGAGTGTTGTGGGCGTACTTGGTGGCAGCTTGAGCGAATTCTGCGTCGGAGATGCGCTCCTCGGCGTATGTGTGCAAACGGCGAAGCCACTGAGCACCGACACCGTCGCAGAACTGTTCCTTCTGACGCCAAACGACTTCGTCAGGCAGCATATTCTCGAAAGCCTTGCGCAACAGCCACTTCTCAGCACAGCCGCTCGTACTCTCCATGGATGCCGCAGTCTGCAATTCGTCACCCGCTGTCACTGTCGTGGACGCGGAGCACAAACATTCTGCCGTGGCGGAAGAACCGGAACCAGACAACATCGGAATAAACGCACTCCCGCTACTAGAAGGTGCAGCTGCCGCCGCACTCATGGGCGTTCCCGGAGCGGACCCCGCAACGGACACGGCTGTGGCCGTCGAAGAGACGGTCGTAGACCCTGTCGCGGTCGCAGTCCCGGCAGAAGGGCCAGGGGTGGGAATGAGGTTAGGTTCAGCGATGGGGAGGTCAAGGGCCTTGGCGGCGGTTGTTGCGTCAGGCGTAGTACGTGAGTCCATGGTGGAAGTCCTGGAGAGGGGCGTGGGAGCGTCTTCTGCGGGCACATAGCCGCGAGGTTTGGGCATGCGGTCTTCGGCGCGAATGGTCATGGCGTAGTTGACGAAGGGAGAACCTAGGAAGGGTGCCCGCAGTTCAACGGACTGTGCCATGGACGTCTTGTTGGCGCGGAGGCCGTCGCTGAGGTGGCAGTCGAAGAGTCTGCGGATGGTTTCCTGGCGGAAATCTTCGGCGGAAGGTGCGGAGTGGAAGTAGAGGTAGCCGCCGAAGATCTCATCGGCGCCTTCGCCGGAGAGAATAACTTTAACGCCGGCAGATCGAACGGTGCGGGCGAGGATGTACATGGGGATGGCTGCCCGGATAGAGAAGGGGTCGTATGTTTCTAGATGCCAGATAAGCTCTGGGATGATGTCGAGTCCTTCTTCGGCGGTGTAGAGTACCTCGGTATGGTCGGTGCCAAGTCGTTCGGCCACGATTCGGGCGTACGCCAAGTCGGAGGAGTCCGACATGCCGACGCTGAAGGTTTTTAGACGGGCCTCGGGGTTGACATCGCGCATGATCTTCTGAGCCATGGCGGCAATGATGGACGAATTGAGTCCGCCTGAAAGGAAGCAGGCTACTGGTACGTCGGCCGCCAAATGGTACTTGACCGAGCGTTCCAGACGGTCGCGCAATTCACCCATATCGGCGGGCATGGCGTTTAGGTTCGACCAGGCTGGTTTGTAATATTCGACCATGGTGTAATTCTCCGCCGTACCCGTCAGGAAACAGCCAGGCGGGAAGATGGAGACCTTATCACATGGAATGCATTTCATCTCACTGGCAATGTACAAACGACCATCACTCTGATCCACGCCATAGTACAGACTACACACACCTAGCCCGTCACGAGCTGCAAAGAACTGCCCTGTGGCCTTCTCGTAAATCACAAACCCGAACATGCCCCACAGCAACGATGCGCACTCGCGACCAAATTCTTGATACATCGCCATAATCACATCCGAGTCAGACCTTGGCGTGTATGCACACCCACGCCGAGTACAAATCAATTCCGCCAACTCTTTGTAATTGTACACCTCACCATTCGCAGCCAAAATGGTTCCTCCATCTGTTGACAGCAACGGCTGCCGCCCCGTCGCAATTCCAATGATCGACAGCCTCTCCTGCACAATGCAGTAACTCCCACCACTCTGCACACCTGTCGAATCCGGCCCACGGTGACGCTGTCGACGAGACAACTGGAAAGCCTTCTCCCGCAACAAACTATCCGTTACGCCACTCGGCAGAAAGACACTAAATATTCCGCACACTGCAAAACAACGTTCGCACGCACGCACGCATGAATGGTACAGGGACAATACCCAGGGACAGTACCCACGGAGCAGGTCTTAGGTGGTCATTCTCAATGGAAGAGACCCATGTGGGGGAGGGGGAATAATAAATGGGGCGCAAGAGGGTATTGCTTAGCGGCTTTCTATGAGATTGCGCACTGCGTACCGGGAGACAGGGAACATGTTGAGGAGCATTGTGAAAGAGGATGGAGGCTTACTCTTATTCCCCTAAGATTTATGATTCTAGACTTGCGACGGAGATTATTTCAAAAAAATGATAGCTTTCGGTCGGCCGAAATCTTCCATTGAGGCTTGTAGAAAGCCATATCGGGTTCGACACTTTTCGCGAGGCTGGTAGCCAAAATTAGGTCCCCGGGACAGGCCAAGGGGTCTCTAGCGCACCTGGTACCTTTCGCATAGACCGCTTCATCCACGGCACCTTCATTGGTCCCATGAAACCAAGGGTCGTTCCGCACCAAGTCATACCGACAATCGCACTGGAACGGGCAGTCGTCTTCAATGGGCAAGACTTCCGCACTCGCACCCGCCAATACTTCGTAGTGATTTAGCGATTCCATTACCGCCACCGTCCGGTATGGCAAACCCGTGTTCATAACAATACTGTTCTCTACCCCTTGGTTGTCAACGATGTGCTCTAGGTCAACCTTGAGTGCAAGACAGATACTAAATGCTTGATTACTAGCGGGGTTCCACTCCTCGGTGGCGGACTGGCTGGATTTACCGTAGTTCGATGTCCTGAGTATATTTTCCGAATAATTCCCTTGAGCGTTTGGCGTATTACCTGCTATAGCCTGCTCTGGATTCGTGGCTGCCACGGCTGTCATTAAACGTCTTGCTTGTTCCCATTCTGTAAAAAGCTCGGGGTGGTCGAATTCGAAGTCGAATAAAACCTGACCAGATGCAAGAGACGGTCCTGTATCGACCCGGGTGGAATTGTAAGTGGGATCGAGATCCACAAAGTAATCCTCCGACCAGTCCATGACTATGGGGTAGCCCCATACCTCGATATCTACCTCTTGCTCAACCACCTCCGACGCTTGAAGCGACATGGGGATGCAGGTTCCTGCGACGCTGCTGACGCCTTCGGCCACCCGGATCGTTCCGACAACCGTCCCGTTACCTCGCTCCGCTGCATAACCCCCTACTGCGGCGTAGTACACTTTGAAACTGATTTTGGAGAAACTTGGAGCGAGTGGACCCGTCTCTGAAACCGACGGAGACATCATAGACGCCAGGTCCCAGGACAGCGAATACTGCAGCAAACTACTGTCTTCCAAATAGTCCATTTCCCACTCACTCTGGAAGAACGTCCCGTTGCCCGAATAAGTATCCAGAGTCTCCTGAGAACGTACAGCATACCTACACTCCGGCCATGACGTTAGGGCTGCCTCCAAATCCGGCTTATACATTGGCTCCAGGGTGTTCCCTTTGCAATAATCTATACACGTTTGGTCATCTGCTAAACCGCTAACTCCTGTATCGCAGTCCACGATATACTTTGCTCCCGGCCTATAGTTTCTACAGAGGCCGCTACAAATGGTTGGGGAAAGGAGGGGGGGGGAGAGGGGGGAGCGGTAAAGGCAAGATAGTTGGCATCCAGGCAGAAAAGGTACCAGACGTTTGAGGTGCCAGACGTTTGAGGTACGAGGCACTTGAGGTAGAGGCTTTTGAGGCTTACAAGCGGTAGGCTGATTGGTAATATGAGGGTACGAATGGTGCCTGGCTGGACGCAAATGCCGCTATCTGGTCGTCAGATTCGAGTGTTGGGTGGTGGGCCTGCGTCTGGGTCGCAGTTATCCGGCCAGATGCGGCCAATACAAGTGGGGTGAGGGCGAGAAACATGGTTGAAAAATATGATTCAGTGGCCGTGGTGGTTATTCCTTGGTGCTTGCGGGTTGGCCCCTAACCTAGGGTTAAGATTGTCAGAGGATGTAACTCAGATAGAGTTGAAGGAAATATGTAGCCGGTTACATGAGAGGTTTGATGCGATGTATTTCGCTAATCTGAAATCTTTCAAGTTAGCGTCTCAAGGTCAGAAGGTACATAACCAGGAGGATGCGGCGGCCATGTGGCAACAGTTTGGCTTAGAGCGTGAGATAGTGTTTGATTTGCGGAATGACACGCGCTATATCAGTACGGCTGACTGGCATGGAGATTTCCTGGTGGCGTGCGAAACGCTCTTGCATTCTGGTGTTATGTCCGCCGAAGGCGACTGGCAGGATCCGAAAGCTTGGTTCATTCATACAGGAGACATTGTGGACCGTGGTTTGTCGTCTCCTGCAATTTACGAGATGATTCTTCATCTTAAAGATCAAGCCAAAAAAAAGTGTCCTGGAAAAGAGTGTGGTATTGTTACTATTATGGGTAACCATGAAGCCATGAACCTCATGGGTATGTATCATTATTTGAATCCCAGAGAAGCTCTCAAGTATTACAATATAGATTTCAACTCGTATAATGACCAAGGCCGAAAGCAGAGAAATCAAAACGGCCCGAAAACAGTGCTGTCGAATATAGACATCTGGGATCCGCTCTATGGCTACTTGGGTAAAAGAATCGTGAAGGAATTTGACATTTTCGTCAAGTTCGGAGATACCATTTACGTACATGGAGGCTTGACTAGAAAGATGATTGAGTTCGGAAAACAAACCGGGAACCCGCTCTTAGAAGTTCGTACCAGCGATGACCAAGGTTCAAATGACCAAAGTTTTGGCGACAATGCTGCTAGGGAGCGCGCTATAAACGGCCCTGTAAGCGACGTTCGGTCCAGAATAATCTTCCAGAACCTGTCTTGGTTAATCAAGAAAAGCATAATACGATACGTGAATCGAGAATCGTTGAGTTTGACTGAGCACGATTTGATATCTGGAGATAACTGTCCTTTTTGGACGAGGATCGTAAGCACAGGAAATGGGTCAAAGATCTGCAAGATGTTAAAAGTGACGCTGGATGACCTAGGTGCAAAGACGTGTGTAGTAGGCCACACAATCACTGCGAGCCAAGACGTCGAGAAAAAATGCGGTGGTCGATTCTGGCTCATGGATACAGCGAGCAGTGAACTGATGTCGCCGCAGGTGCGAGTGAACCTTTATAATGTGGCGTACATCAAAGTTTCTGAAGAGAACCAAACTCCTGATTCAGACTTGCCGAATCGGGTTGTTGAGTGGACTTTATACAAAAGACGGTTCAATGCACCCCACGAGAATTATTTTAATTTCTCAACAAGCATCATTAGGACCGCACAGCTACCACCGGCCGCTCCTTCACCCCTCCTACTAGAGGTTGCTGGCAAGTCCTGTGCCAATGGAGCCTCACCCCTATTTTTCCCTTAGCTTTTTTTCCTCACCGAAAATGAGGTAAGTGGTTCTTTCAGGGAGCTCCTAATCTTCCCGTTGTAGTGAAGTGCCCAACACGGCCGGTGGCTCCAATGACATCCGTAAACTAACACCCTTCAATCAAAACACCTCCCTGTACCAACCACCCCGGACGGACGGACAAGAATCAGACGAAATGGGATAGGAAAAAGAAGTAAAAGATGATGACGAAACTGAATCAAGAACAGGCGGCCACCCGGGGCAAAAAGTCATGGCAAATGTGCGTTGATTGCCTAGGAAGCATGATAGTCTGCAGGAAGCATGATAGTCTGCAGGAAGCATGATAGTTCGAGGCATCTGATGATCCGGGGTTGCATCATCTACACCGTAATACCATCGGGGTATGCTACCGGGGTATGCTACCGGGGTATGCTACCGTGGTATGTTACCGTGGTATGTTACCGTGGTATGCTACCGTGGTATGTGTGTGTGTGTGTGTGTGTGTGTGTGTGTGATATTTAGCCTTTTGTAGCGGAAGACCAAAAGTATAACCCTAGGAAGATGTTCGTTGGAGGCCTTGGTCCTCATATAACTCCTCGATCTTTGATAGATTACTTTTCTAAATATGGGGAAGTGGTAGACTCATCGGTCGTATTGGATAGAGTAACAGGGCGAAGTCGAGGATTTGGATTCGTTATCTTTAAAGAACTTGAAAGCGTAGAAAAGTGCAGCCAGAAACTGAGACACATCATAGACAACGTTAACGTAGGCAAACAGACAGCACATTACGGGGGTAGGATTCAGTCATTGTTGGTCCTGACAGAAGTTTGTTAGTCTGGCATGGGTCTGACATGGGTCTGTTTGGTCTGACGGGTCTGTTGGCCTGACGGGTCTGTTTGGTCTGACGGGTCTGTTGGCCTGACGGGTCTGTTGGCCTGCCTGACATGGGCAGTGGGGTGGATTTGTGATGTTGTAGTGCGAAGTTCGGAAGGCAGTGCCCCGCGAAGATGCCCGGCAACAGTCTGAGATGGGAGCCCGTTGCAAGGTGTTTGTGTCTGGATTAGGAGACAGTACTCGGGAGAATCACTTGCGGGAGTACTTTGAAGCATTCGGGGCCGTGGAGGAGGCGAACATAAAAACTGATCGGGTGACAGGCCGGAGTCGTGGGTTTGCGTTTGTTTTGTTTAAGACCCCAGAGGCCGCGAGACAATCGTTGGGGGCGCACCCTGAGCTTGGGCCGATTGTGGAGGCGAAAATTGCGGAGCCACGAACGTCGTATTCCGCTACCGGTGGCAAGACGGACAGAAATGGTCCTCCTCCAAGGTCAACACCCGAATGGTCGGCGGCCAACCCCAGAAGACCTTCCCCTGGTTCCTACAGCTCCTACCTTCCGCCCAACGCCCCTTCCTTGTACCCCGCCACGGCACCCACTGTCTACGCACCCTATCCCCACCTAGAGGTGGAACACGACACCGGTACTGTTGACGCGGGCCTCGGGGGACCTGCTTCCCTCGGTGGACCAGCTCTCGGTGGGCCTGCTTCCCGCGGGGGACCTGCTTCCTTCGGCGCACCGGTTTCTCTCGGCGGTCCTACTTCACTTGGGGGACCTACTTCCCTACCCGCTTCCGTCGGCGCAGCCACTTCCCTCGGCGGCCCTGGCCGTGGAGGAAACATTAACGTCGGGCCAAACATTCCTACTAGAACCATGGAGCCACCCGACGCGCCGGGTCTCTACGACACCAGCTCCTGGGCATCCTATGATGCCACAGGCACACGACACTACGACTACTCCAACACATACGACCGACCGGACGACCTCTACGCCTCCAACACCTACCAAAGGTCCCAGCGGAACCCGAATCAAAGATTCAGTCCCTACTAATCGAACGCCAGTCTTATAGAAGCTCAATCAGCACACATTGAACACGCGGCCGAGAAACAGAAAGCCGGGCTGCACATTATCCGAGGACGGATGCTCACTCAACCTGAAGATGTTCCATCCGAATATGTCCCGACAAGCAATAAATAATCCAACCTTTCTCTTGGTCCAACCCTTCTCCGCTCGGTCCGCAAGAGAACCTGCGGGGTCCTACACCGCTCGGATCCGCAAGAGCGCACAGTCTGAGACTGTTGAATCTCGCAGTTCAAATATAAATCGAAGCAGTTCCTAGCCACCCGGTCGGAACTTCCGACAGCAGCAGACACAGCACCGATGTGGAAGATACAGACGGTATACAATAGGCGGCACATAATAAGCCTTAAGCAATGGGCGGCATACACTGAGCGGTATACAATAGGCGGGATCCACTTGGGCGGGATCCACTTGAGCCCGACTGCACTGTACTGGGTCGGCCAGTCAGTCATTCGATCGATGAGTCGACCAGTCAGTTGCCGATCAAATGCGCGGCTGAGCAACGTGAGCTGTGGTATCTCTGAGGTGTTGGCTGGGTGGTGATAGCTGGGGCGATACCGTGTTGATGGGGGCAGTATTTTTCATGAAAAAAGATCGTCGGAGGTTTCGGGTATGTGTTGGTCATCTGAATCGTCGATACGTCCAAGGATGATATCAGCGCATTTCTCTGCGGCGGCAAAGTTGTCGGGTTCTTCGCTGCTGTGTTCATCGAGGTCTTGACTGCGATGTCTGGTAAATTCGAGGAAGAAGAGTTGCTTTAATGTTTGCCAGGCGCGGGGTCCCCGTAAGTTGAACTCTCGTCGTGGCCACCAAGACATAGCGGGTATGGACGAGCTGGGTGGTCCAAGGCGTCTGCAGAATCCTGGGTTGCGGATACTTATCGTGGTCGTAAGCAAGGCCGCACATAAGGCCACAGCAATAGGGATGTTCACAGACATCTTAAGTTGGAACCGGTTCGTAGGCACAATTTCAGGGTTCATTACACCTAGGTAACCACGGGTAAAACGGTTCCCAGATATGCTACCATCTGCATCTTCCGCCTGGTGGTACAATAATAACGTCAACAACAATGGCGCACTGTACTTAATACTCATCGACCAGAATACATCCACACGGAAAATTGAATTGCCACACAACAACGAATTCAAGTCATATCGAAACAGCTCGATATTGCCTAGCAACAGCCACCAGTACGGTCCCCGCACCAGCGGCTTAGTCCTTCTCTCTCGAAAACCGCCTTCTCGAAAACCGCCTTCTCGAAAACCGCCTTCGAGAAAGCCTCCTTCTCGAAATGCCTCCTCGCCTCGGTAACCTTCGGCTCTGTAACCCGCCCCAGTCTGTAGCCGCTCGTTGAGCGTGGGCCTCACAAGGCTGGGTTTCATAAGGCTGGGCGTCACGCGGCTGGGTTTCCTGCTGAAGCGAAGACTTTGGCGTAGTCTGCGTCGGCTGAGACGACGTCGTCCGATATCTCCTTTGGCGGTTCCGATGAGGTCGTCTTGAGCGTTATTTCTGGGGAAGTCGGTGGGACAATCTGCGACAGGGAAGTCGCCTCGTGGGAAGTCGCCTCGTGGGAAGTCGCCTCGTGGGAAGTCGCCTCGCGGGAAGTCGCCTCGCGGGAAGTCGCCTCGCGAGAAGTCGCCTCGCGAGAAGTCGCCTCGCGGAAAGTCGCCTCGCGGGAAGTGGGCCAATCCAAGGAACCTTCGCCGAGGGATCAAGCCGCTAGAAAGGTGGTGCGACCAGGGCTGTTGTTGAAGCCGGGGGGAAGAGGCAGCCGAGTTCAGACCCACATTTCGGTAGACCTTCCGGGCGTTCAAACAGACCAATACAGTTAGCACCACAAAGATAACCCCGTATACAACATAGCACACGATCTGTGGTAATGTTCTGTATACAAATGGTGGCGTGCTCGTCGGCAACTTGATCTTTGACATGCAGTTCACAATCGGAATTAATGCAACAGCCATACACCCACCAAGTACGTTACATATAAACATCCAGGTGTACGTAGCGTATGAACCTACGCGATTGACCTGGTGCTTGCTGTACCGGAGCCAGCCCCAAACCAGACACTCAAAAAGAGCTGTCAACTGCCACACCATCGGATAGAAAAGATAGTCCTACACGCACAACAACTTATGTGCCACCATGTGCCACTGTGTGCCACTGTGTGCCACTGTGTGCCACTGTGTGCCACTGTGTGCGACTGTGTGCGTGTAATAGATTACGAATATGAGAGTTCCCGTATACATCCGGATTGCGGACAGAGTCAAAATGAAGCAAGCTATAACAAAGAACACCAGGCTCTTGGCATGCTTCACGCTTCGAATAGCAGACCAATCAGACACATCCTCAATGGTTGCGTAATAGAATAAGCTAATCGTGGCCACCGATCCCAAGACGATGACAACCAATACAATAGATCCTACATACTATAAGGCGCTGTAAGCAGGCAGGGAAGGCAGACAGGCAGGGCAGACAGGCAGGCAGGCAGAATATGTGCGGGGGTTGGCTGGCTCACCCTTTTGTGAGTCACGTCACCTATAGCCGCAGGCAATACAGTTCCAATTATGTCTGGAATAGGCCGCAGAATATCTCCTATTCCCCGGTCGACCTTGGTACCCAACTGAAAAAACAAGACTTTGGTTTTCTTCCCGCGCGCGCCCTGCACTGGTTGCCCTCTCCTACAACTGCACTCTCACTGGTTTGTGCACTGGACAGGCAGCACTTACGGATTGAATCATGTTGAAGGAGACGGCAGTAAAGATTGAGAGTCCAACTATGTCACAGATGCACACGACTGCCGCCATTTTGGATCCATTAAGGCCAAAAGATGCAGACGCCCCGAGGCAGTGATTGAAGCCCGTGCCAATGCTGAGAGTGCATAGTGCTGCCGATGCTGACTCGTACCAGATAACTGGACTCCGGAGAGAGGGAACGCCTGCAGTGAGGAGGCCGGTGGTCGGTTCCGGATATACGCTCCGGTGGATGTCTTCTTGTCCCCGCAGAGTGCTCGTCTCCAGCTTGAGTTGAATCGAAAAATACAACAGCAGCACCAAGCCCAGTAACGAGGCAGCCGAAACAACTACAAGAGATGAGCGTAGTGAGTTGCGTAGCCCATTCGCGGTGTGCGTGCGTGGGTGCGGTTCATTGTCGTAGCTCATTGGCGTAGCTTATTGGCGTAGCTTATTGGTGGTGTGCGTTACAGATGCTGCGCAGTTTGAATTGGAAGCCTTGTGCGGCGAAGAGGATAAGTACATAGGTTGCGACGATGGCCCACATGGTGGCGTTGCTGATGACTTTGCGATTGCCCGAGTCAAGTTGCGCCCAGTAGATGGGGTCGTATGTGCAGACGTTGTCGAAGAGGATGCAGCCTTCTTTGCGGGAGCAGCTGGTGGCAAGTGGTTTGGTTTGTTCACAGTCAACACGGACGGACTCTGGGGGTATCCAGCCGGGCGAGTTGGACCAGTAGCCGCAAGCGGCTCCGACGTGGTGGGTAAGTTCATACAGCATATTTGTGTAGTAAATGAGTGTATTAAGGATGGCAAGGGGGGCAGCGAGTCGAAGGGCAGGCGTTACTGCTTCGAACGATTTACCAATACCTCCCCGAAGCAGGTTGCCAAGACACATCTCCAGCGTCATAATGGGCCAACCCAAAAATAGTAACGACAATAGATACGGTAATAAGAAGGTATATCCTCCCCAGATCTCTGCCATCTTGAACATTTCTGAGTAACGTCGCAGGGTCAATAACCCTATCACCGCCGCAAGGTACGCGTGTTTTGACTGTCGGAATACCAGCTTCTTTTTACCGCGACGAAATCCATCCACCGACGCCTCCGATATCTCTGACTCCTCCGACTCCTCCCCCTCACTAGACACCTGCTGCTCCCGCTGCTTCACCAGTGCCGCGAACGCCACTCCCTCTACACTTGCCTGGTACGTCGCCTCTCGAGCAATACTCCATGGAACCATCTGACGCACCATCTCCTCTTGATCTTCGCCTAAACCGCTCTTCCTACATCCCAACCATTCCATATTTTTTTTCCTCACCCCATGAACGACTCCAACAAAAATGACTCCTGCCTCAACGGCTCCTTAACTTTCGAGTTCGATATTGAAGATGATGACGAATGGTACCAGGCCACCTGCGATGCTCTGGGGGAACAAGATGATAGACTTATGGAAACGGCCGATATATCAACCCAGGGACCACTGGAGGGAAGGCTCGACGGAAAAATGAGCCCCCGAAATACGGCAGAAGTCAGCACTCCCTCTGACCCCGCAGGCGGCTATAACGCAGGCAGCTATAACGCAAGCACGGACGAGCGGGGAAACTTTACCAGCGTCACTGTGGCAACCTTTTGGGACCGCTACGTGATCCCCACTGTAAGCGATCTGCTTCTGTACGCCGAAAATGACATCAGACAGTTCTTCGATGTTGTTTCAAATTCTCTCTCCAAGGAAACTCTGGGACTAGATACTGCGGTCATCTGCATACTCAGCGCATTCCAATGGAACCCGGAAGTAGCCATAGAAGCCCTGCTCACTGACCCCTCAGCCACTCTCAAGAAAGCCGGATATGTCAAACAAAAGGTGGAGCCTACAGACCCAGATTTAGAACCAAACATTTGTCCCATTCTTTACATCCCTTGCAATCTCTTTGAGACCATCCCCTTATGCGGTCACCGCATATCCACCACGTAATGATCTTTAGCATCCTCCCCCACTACGTGCGACACTGTGCCTCATGCCGCTTGTACAGCGCCGCTTGTTCGGCGTGATATGGTATCTTCTCGTTTGTAGAGCGTGGAAGAAGTATTTGGAGAGTATGTTGTCTGACAATCGGACGACTTTCTCCGTGAAGTGTATGTTCTGTGCTTCCCCTTTAAGTCAAGAGTTCATTGAGCGCCTGCTGGCTGAAGACCAGGTGGCGAAATGGCGGGAGCGTGTGGTGGAAGATATGGTCACTAAGTGTGGTTGGGCCAAGTACTGTTCAGGGAAGGACTGCGAGGGTCTCCTGGTCCACAGCCGGAAGCGCAAGTACCCGCGGGGTGTAGTGTTGCCGGCGGCGGACAAGCGGAAGGTCGTCGAGGAAGAAGTAGAGGAGGAAGTAGAGGAGACATCTTCGTTGGTGCGGCGGAACTTCGCACAGCAAGAGAGGAGTGTGGCAGGGCGGTTGTCTCAGGTGCTGGCTCGCAATGGGGATGTGGGCGAGACTGGTGGGGCCGAGGGGGAGCACGTGGGGGACGGGAGCCAGGAGGCAGCGGGGGTTGACGAAACAGCCGTCGTAGCTACAGCGGGGGTCGAGGCCGAAACTGCGGGCTTGGCAGATACGGAGCCGTGCGAAGCCGACAGCGAGTTGACCGGAGCCGACAGCCAGTTGGCCGGAGACGGGTTGGCGGTTCGGCGGAAGGACTACACGTTAGGTGAGGGGGCCCAGTGTGAGTTGTGCGGGACGGTGATGTGCTTTGTATGCGGTGAAGAAGACCACCGCCCCGTACCTTGCGAGATGATGCTGGACTGGCAGCGGCGGAATCAGGAAGACTGTCCGAACATTTTATGGGTGTTGATCAACGCTAAGAATTGCCCCCAGTGCCGTCATCCGATCGAGAAGAACCAGGGCTGCATGCACATGACCTGTCGCTGCGGTCACCAGTTCTGCTGGCTATGTTTGGGGGACTGGAGCATGCACAAGGACAACTTCCGCTGCAATTTTTACGAAGAAGAAATGAAGGTGCCGGAAAATCAACTGGCTGCGAAACAAAAGAAGGAATTACAAGACCGAGCTAGCAAGAGCCTTAACAAACTAACGCACCATTTCGAACGTTATGTCTCACACAAAAATGGAGCCACTCACGCGCACAAATCAATCATCTTGGAACTGAATAACATGGAACGAGCCTGCAAAGAAGCAGGCCTGCAGAACAAATCGAACGCGGACATCCTCTACCTTACAAGCAGCACCATGACCCCCCAAGGCACGGCCGTGTTTGGACCGGATACCGTTAGACCAGATACCGTTAGACCAGATACCGTTAGACCGGATACCGTTAGACCAGATACCGTTAGACCGGATGCTGGTAAAAGACTGGGCACGACATCCGTTGACACTACAGGACAGACAGCTGAGCTGGGTCAGGTTGTACCATTCCCATTCTTTGAAAAGATGAGGAATGCTGCCGAACAAATTATCAGAGGACGTCGAGCCCTCTGCTACTCCTATGTATTTGGCTTCTATGCTTGCTGGGGCTCCAGCGTTAACGAGAAGTTTCTTTTTGAAGATCAACAAGGGCAGATGGAACGATATCTGGACAAACTACAAGAGCTTGCCGAGTCTTATGAATTTACTGTAGGACTGCCGTTCGAGAAGTACGACGGCTACCTAATGGACATAACACACTTAACGCGCGGTACGTGCAACTGTTCACTTCATCCATTCACTTCATCCATTCTCTTTAGTCGTCTCCGTATTCTTTGACAGGATGGTGGAAGCTTTTTCAGACGAGCTAGTGGTCAAATTTGGTCCCACCTTGAAAGAGCTAGTGAACCAGCAGAGTTAGCAGAGTGAGTGAACGGCGGAGCTAGTGGACCACAGAGCTAGTCACCCAGCAGGACTAGGAGAGGTAGTAAACTAGGAGAGGTAGTCATCCAGAGAGTTAGTGGACTAGGAGAGGTAGATCACTACGTGTGTGTGAAATCATGGTAGATCACTACGTGTGTGTGAAATCATGGTAGAATACTACGTGTGTGTGAAATCATGATGCATTTCGGATGGCGTTTCTCTTAAAAACGCGGCTGACGACGTCACGGAAGTTGCGGCTTCGTTCGTCGATGAAGCCGCGGACGAAGTCGACTGCTTGGGGTGTGGTTTTGTCGCCCCAAATGAGTTGGGCGATCTGAAGAGAGAGTTCTCCACGAACATTTTTTTGTAGGTACCAAGACTTGTACTCGACCAGAAGTAGGAAGAGAACCTTGTTGGCGACTGATGTGATAGTATCGATTAGGAGGGCTCGAGTGGCGTCGTCTGTGATGTGTTTGAAGTTGATCTGTTCGATGGGCGGTAGTCCCTCTAGCAAACCCCGTTCAGCCGCATTTAGGAAACAGATTGGTTTTCTACGAAAGGAGGAGATCACGGGTCGTTCTCCTCCCCTTGCAAGTTCCGCGCCGCTTCGGTGCCATCCGACAATCTCCGGCATGTAGTCCTTGTATATTTTATTTTTCAACGTAAATAATTTGGTGTCCAGTTCTTGCTGAATGCGCACGGCGATGCGGTCCGCCTCTTCAGGGTGAAAGACCCGCAAGGGCACCGCACTTGGGCTCCCGTCGGAGCTGCCGCTCGGGCTCTTGCGGAAACGCTTCCTTTCCCCGACGGGCATCTTGCACATAGCGCGTTTATACACTTTCTTCTCCTGGCCAGTTTGCACTGTCACCTTCTTGCCAACCTCTGGAACCGTCACCATAGTCTCGTTTATCATCACGGTACGGTCACCACCGCTGATCCCTCCGGCAGTTTGGCCAAAAGCGCCCGTGGGGGCAAAAGTAGCCGTTGGGTTAAAACTGCCCGTTGCTGCAAAAGCGCCCACCACGGGGCCTTCTCTAGCAGGCATGCCTGTTGTGACCAGCGGGGGACCGGCGCTCAACGGGGGACCCGCCCCCCAAAGGGGTGCGAGCGGGGGACCGGGCGCGAGCGAGAGTCCGGCTCCCAGGCCTGGCTGTCCAGCTTCCGTCTGAGCCAAATCTCCATAGCCATTCGCTGCTGGGCCATTGGGCACCCGCTCTTCGGCACCACTTGTGTTTATGAGACCTCCATCTATCAGCGCCCCACTCGAAGGGGCGCCATTCATCGAAATACCACGAAAATTAGTCGGGAACGGCGGATATTCCACGCTGTCGTGCCCGGCCATTAGACTTGACGCGGCCAGGTTGGCCACTAACATAGCACTGGTGGTGGACAAGCTGCCGGAACTCGCGCTACTTGGCGGAGTTGTTCCAGCGGCGAAGTTCTCGGGCCACCGATATTCCTGCAAAGATCGTGCGTGTGTGCGCGCACACACTTACTGGTAAGGCAGAACCATCAGAATTGTTCACAAACTCTGACAAAAGGCCGCCGACGTCAAAACAGGCATCCCATCTGACGTCTTGCATTCTCGGTCAAAATGTGTTGGGGCTTTTTTAAAAACTAGCTCGGGGAAACTGAGGAGGGCGGGGCATGATCGAGGATGTAGTGGCTTTAGATGTCCAGAAGCACATAGAGGAGAGGTTAAAAGAGACCCAAGAGTTGGCTAACAGGTTGAAAGATTTCAAATCTGGAAAGAGAAGCTTTCAAACTCTGCACTTTAAAGACCGCCGTAGAGTCCAGTCGCATAACCCGTATCGTATTCCCAGACGGCTACAGAAACCAATCCTAAGGGACTTTGAAGAATGCCCTTCGAAGCCGAGCAGGAGGCCTCGACGTGATCGTCGCAGGCCTGCGAATCTTCAACTCTACTTTGAAAAAAGGGAAGGAGCTAAAAGAATAACCGCGGAGAACCGGGGAAGTGATGCGGGAGTGGTGCAGGATGCGCTGGGGGAGTCCGAGAACGAGTCTGACGTCCCAACGCGACCTTGTTGGCTAGAGACTCATTTATGGTCAGCGAAGAGGATGCATATGGCTTCAAGATTTGGCTACAAGATTGCACTGAGGCCCACCCAAAAATGTTCCAGGAAGCAACTACGATATTCTCTAAGACGCTGCGCGGTACACGACGCATCGTACATGCAGGTGTATCGCTTGCCTGTTACGCCTTATTTAGCAAGGTTAGTTCCTACGACTTGCCTACCAGGGGTTAATAATGTTATGCTAGTGGATCATCTGGGTCCTGCCGAGGTAATTATAGGCGAGGACGAGTCGCACCTTTCTGGTAAGAGCGCTGACGAGTTTACTATTATCATTCATCCCTGTATCCGGCCAACATTTGAAAAGTTAGTTCAAAACATTGCCAGGCACACACGTGTGCGGCGCTGTGATTTGATCTTATTTGAGCTGTATGGGCCGCAAAGCCTTGCAATACTGCGCTCCGCCCTTATGGCAGGTGATGTCGTTGTGAATCATTCGGATCCTTTGGTAGTTAAGGCGGCGCGTCGGATTTTGTCGGAAGCGCCGAACGACAGGAAAATTGTATACGAGATCAACAATGGCAAGAGCTTTGTGATTACGGTGAACTCAGTGCCTCAGATATTAGGACCATTTCATGAGCCGAGAATGCAAATGAAACAGGTCGCTTTTGATAGCGATTTTGATATGGTGAAGTACATCGCAGAAAAAATGTGTCTGAAGAAAAGCGAAAGTTTGTCGTTCGAATCTTCTCTAATTTCACGACGGCTAGGAGTAGTAGTGCCTGGTTTGAATGAAGATTGCCCGAACCAGAATGGTTTAGGAGTGGAGACCGCAGAGACGGAAACCGCAGAAGTGGTGGCCGCAGCGGGAAAAGTTCAGGGGTCCCTGACGTATAAGCTGTCGTTGCGAAGTAAGAAGAGAAAGGACACGGCCAAGGCAGCTAAGCAAATCAAGTCATCCGGTGGTGCTGTACCTATTAAAGCAACAACTGCCGCTGCAGCTGCAATAAAAGTGCGGTGTATGATTTGGTTCAACAATGTCAGTAGCGACTTGGTTCGTATCAAGATTATGATGCCCCGAGACACCATCGGTCGTAGTGTTTGGAATCTGATAAATAGATATGGAGCCGTTCCCCTCGGATTGGATGATAGAGAGAAGTTGTATTCGACTTATGACGTGTTCCATTTTCCTAGTCACCATATATACAGTCCGGTGGCCACGGCGTTGTGGAGCAAACGAAGTGCATTGGAGCGAGCGAAGTGGGAGAGCAGCCCGCCGGGCAGGCGAGTAAACTTCGACAAATTGAAGCGGCGTGTCTTCTTTCCTTTCGGACTATCGTGGCTTTCGGAGTGTGGTGGTTCTCGAGAAACCGAGGCCGACAGTGATCAAGTCGACACCAGTGCCCTGGAGTCAAATCCTGCACTCATGAGAGAAAGGTTGTGGGATCGATACAGTCCTTACATAATTCACTTCTCAGGTCGAGGGCGGCCTCGGATTCATGACTTAATTTTCCCAGATGGAAACGCAGGCAATCAAATCAACGAGGTGAATATGGAGGTGGATACAGTTGAGGAGGCGGAACGTCATGAACCCGATGGCTCTATCGGGTTCATTATAGATGGCTATCACAGCCTGCACACAGGTCATGGCCATGGTTTAGCATGGATCCGGAAGGGCATAACCCCGTCGACGGTGAGCATCCGTTGTCATACATCAGGGCTGGATTACCAACACGTTAACGTCTTGCCTGCGCCAACATCCCTCCAATATTTATAGACCTTTGTCGTGGAACTCCCTGGCTCGTGGGGCTGTTTGTTTTTATAAACATCGTCGGTAACAAGGACTGGAGGTCTAACCGCAATATTTTATTTTTTACACGTTAATTTGGTAAAAAAATTTGTATCACCTTGCTGTTCTGAAACTTACTGTCGGAGCGATGAGAGTTATTGGAGCGGTCGTGCCTGTCTTGTCATTAGTTTACGGACGACAGAGCTACAGCGAGTCATGCTTCTTACCGATTGACTTGATGATCTTGCAGGATACAACTGGATCATTCGATGATGATCTTCCGAATGTGTCAAAGAACATTCCTGTGATTGTTGAGAAAGTGTTAGAGCAGAACCCGGGATCCTGGTTCGGCGCGGCAGAGTTCAAGGACAAGCCATACAGGGACCTTGGTGAACCAGACGACTTTTGTTACCGCATCTCTTCGAAGATGACGCCTGAGGTTGAAGAATTCCAGAAGGCTTACGATACGCTTTACGCTAGCGGTGGTGGTGATATACCGGAAGCTCAGCTTCACGCTCTGATCAACGTCGTCTCCGACTCCGCAGTAGGCTGGAGAGCTATCAATAATCATTT